AATGAAAAACACCACAAGCCACTTTTGGGGGTGGTGAAGATACAAAAGGATTTGTTATTAAGAGGGAGAAAGAAACAAGAATGAATGTCACAGAGTGAAAAACAGACTAACAGAGCATTAAGACAGGGTCAAAACCAGTGAGAGGTAATCTACTGTCTTCAGGCATAAAAAGGGTTAAAGAAAGATGATGACATTTACCCTAAGGAATAAAATTATTTTATAATGTCCTGGGTATCTATGCAAATCACAAGCATTCTACGAATGAAGATCATTTATCCTATTTGAAAGGTAGTCAGTTAAGTCAAAAGTAGGAAAAGTAAAGTTAGTTGTTCATCAAGTATTTATATTTACCTGGAATTTGAAGCTCATCTTCAATAAATCGAACATAATTTTGTGCATTAACAGGTAGTTCTTTAAATGTCCTTGCATTTGATATGTCTGTGTTCCATCCTGGGAGAGTCTTATATTGAACTTCAACTTTATTTAAGACTTCTTGGTTTGCTGAATAAGTTAAAAAGTATATTTGTTCACGGTGTATACGGCCTACTGTCAAACAACTTTTTGATATATCATAGGTTCACAATCTCTTTTCAAAAGCCTTGCAGCCAGATGCATTTGGGAATTTAGAAGTTTTCAGAGTTTAGAAAGGTAAAATGGTCCATGTGCCATCTGGGGTGGTATTTTATAATCAAACATATTTCTACATCAACACAGGATTATTCACTATCAGCAGGTAGATTATTAGTTCTAACATTAGCTCAACTCAGGTTTTGTTGTCAATGAGTTTTGATGCCAGGCTTAAAACTTTCAGCTTTTAGAGCTTTTTATATTTCTACGTGATGGATTAGGGATTGTGGATCTGTATAATGTCAGCAATCTCACAGAAAGAAGGCCTGCATACTCGCCCTCATCTGGGAAATCTACTGATTGTTTTAGTGACTGTAGAAAAGCTTAGATGGAACTTTCTTTCATTATCTTACCTAACCATTTTCTTTGTATCCCCTAATAGAAACTGAAAATGTACTAAAAGCAGACCAGTTTCTTTGGCTAGAGATCGTATAGTGGATGCTATACTATCTCCACATGCCCCTCTTCAGGACTGAGACTCTAGGAATCTGAGTCTCTACAACAGATTATCCACAATGTCCAATACTCAACCAAAAATCATTAGACACAGAAACAGTGATCCACAATCCAGGGGAAGANAGCTCTTACTGTGCTTAATTTGTAAATTAGACTTTATCATAGGTATGTATGTATCGGAAAAAACATAGTATATATAGGGTTTGACACTATCTGTGGTTTCAGGCACCCACTGCGAGCCTTAGAACATAGCTCCCTCCGATAAGGGGGTATTACTGTATACACTTGTTCAATAAAGATTTATTATTTTAAAAGGTATCTATGATTTTTAAGATTGAACTGTATCTGAAGAATAGATCCCCTCTCTTAACCAATTTAATCAGCAAACAGCTCACTTTTAAAGGGAAACAGGAAAGAGTCACTCAAACTGGTCAAAAATGAGTAAATGTCTATCAACTATAATAGGAGAGTTATATTTTTTTTGGTAAAAAAAAAATAGGAGTACTCCTGACTCGGGGGATGGGTTCTTTATATCTGCTGCTGGACCACTGCTAAAATATGATTTCAATAAGGCAATGCTTATAGCCAAGATAAGAATGTAGACTTTAAAATGCTTACTTCTAAGTGCTTTCATGTCTGGGTACCTAATCTAATTTGGAATCCAAGTAGGAAGATGAAAGAGTAAGAAGAAATAAAACCCCATTCAACTTCCAACAGAATAAATAAAAAATATCATATATTAAGTATAAATTATATTTTTACATAAAGGTCATTATTAATCAGTAGTGGGCTTGTAAGATCATCTGTATTATCCTTTTGATTTATTGAATTCAACAAGGCTGCTCCTATTTGGGAATTTTTCTTTAAGTATTAATAAAAATGTATCTAGTGAAGATAAGATATTTGGATCCTTTCAAAGGTTCTGTTTTTGTTCTCTCCCCACTTTATCCCCACAGACCACAGGGACCAAGTGCCTTCTTATATATACTAGGATTACCATTACATCTCTGATCCTCTTATCAAAACAAAAACACAATACACAAAGCATACTAGAAATATCTTGTTCTTTTTAATCGGCTATTGATGGTATAATAAAATAAATTTAAGTGGCACCTAATTTAAACATTTAAAATAGTTCACTGAAGAATAATCTACAACACACATTATGTTAGGCCTAATTGTTAAAATAACACCTTTTTTTTACCAAGAAAAGAGAAATAAAGGCATGACCAACAATTTGGGTTCATTTGGATGCTTACAGATAATTTTGTAGGCATACTGGCAGGCACGATGCTGAAAAATCAATCCACTAGATTTAGAAATAATGGTATGATAAAATAGGAAGGCTATACATTTCAGTGTTAATATCTGAAATTAAAGAAAAGTATCCACCAAATATCACAACAGAGCTTTTGATGACTAATTTTTTAACATTAAGATTGTTGTTTTAGGGAACCCCTTTGCTCTGAACATTTATTCAGTGTTCCATGAATTAAATAATTTACAGAGAGAAATAAGTTTTGTGTTCTATACAAATTAAAGGACCCATGAATATATCACCCTCCCCACCAAAGCTCAAATTTGCAATGGTCTCAGCAGAAAATAAACGGTTCACAATTTAAACAGAATTTATAGCATTACAAAAGTTTACAGAACTCCTTTCTTACCATCATTTTTTTCTAACAGCAAAGATTACAATGACAGAACTGAATGATCAGAATGTAAAA